AGGACGAGAGGAAATGGCCTCAAGTTGCGCCAAGGGAGGTTTAGATTGGATGTGAGGAAAAATTTCTTTACTGAAAGAGTGGTTAAACATTGGAACAGGCTGCCGAGGGAAGTGGTTGAGTCACCATCCCTGGAAGTATTTAAAAGATGGGTAGATGAGGCGCTTAGGGACATGGTTTAGTGGGCATGGTGGTGTTGGGTTGACGGTTGGACTCGATGATCTTGGAGGTCTCTTCCAACCTTAATGATTCTATGATTCTATGATTCTATTCTATGATTCTATGACCCTGGCATGGAGAAGAGCACAAGTTAAACAAGGGACTGGAACATGGGGCAGGGGGCCCAAATGGGGTGACTGGGAGGAAGAGCCTTCATATAATCTGCTGTCTGTAGCTTTGAAACCTGTTGTGGTCCATACAGTAGGAAGTACATTCACAGAGGGGAACCCTGGAGTAGTTGTTTGCTCAAGTCCATACGTGCTATTCAATAGGTTCTAGTTTGCATTCCAGGAAAGCATTATCACCAGACCTGAGAAAGAGGAGATTGCGCATTATCAAAGAAGCCAGCTGACTCCCTGCATCAAATGCTCCTGGCCAGCCCTTCCACTGAGGTCAGCACTCTTAAGCTGGACACAGTTTTGCTGGATAATATGTGGTCTGCTGCAGTGCTATATAAGTAGTTGTCAGGCTGTTCTGGTTTGTTTTGCCTTTAGGAAATTATGCCATAAAGCGTATCTGTCTTGAAGTTAAAAGAACTTCAGTAACTTAGGATTTCTGAGAAAATAGTCCTCATCATTAGCAATTAGATTAAAAAAATGCATAGCGTTAGCAGAGCTCCTATTTACTTCAAAATTACTGGATTCAGCAATTTGAATTTGTCAGAATGTCTTAAAAACTGTGGACAGGAAAAAACAATGGTGAAGTAAAGGATGAGAACCTAACAGGAAAGAAATTCAGTAGCTGTCCTTTTCTTAAGGGAAGTTATGAGAAATCTTTCTGGAGTTAAAACATCATTTTTATCTGTAATAATAAAATTTGTTAAGGAATTGTTTTAAAGGAGAAATCAATGAATCTCCTACGCTTCAGTTGCAAAGAAGTCTTGCCAACTGAGGTTATACTGTATCTGAAAAACTTGCAGTCTACATGTGCGGTGGATAGCATGTGTAATATCCAAGGATCCACTTAAATTCAAGGCTGAAAGCTAAGAGTGACTTTCGCTATGTATAGAAGTATGGTAATTGCCCCTGGTGGGTTCCTCTTTCCCAGGAAGTTTGGGACAAGCTATCCTACTTGTTCCTTTCTCTTCCCTAGACATCCTGAAATGCCTTCCAGCCATTACTGTATTTATTCCCTTGCATCCCTGTTTTAAGTAATAAGTTTAACAGCACCATGTTTTGTCATTGCTTGGTGGCACTTCATTGCACCTTTGCACAGGCAGGGAAGGAATAGCAGGTTGGAAACTATAAATTGTAATACCTGACTTGGGACAGCACTAAGGAGGTTTCCAAGCAGGGGAACAGATAAACCTGACATGATTCAGGGCTGGTGATAGCAAAAGGAATTTCAAGCAAAAATTGAGAAAGATTTGAAAGACTGTCTTGATGACGAGGTGAATTTCAAAGGGATTGGTATCTTTTCTTAAAACCATACTTCATAGTATGATGCATCTGTTCTGCTCCTAGAAGTATGTTTAATATTTATGTATTACTAATTGTGTTTAATTATTACTTAAGGAATAAGGCGAATCCATGCTTTTGCCAGCAATCAGGAAGGAAGTTTTTACCTGGGGTCCTGGTCACCTTGTGTTGTCTGTGCTGCTGCAACTAAGCTGCTGCCATGATCTGAGGTATTTAATTCAGAGCTACCCTAGGATTATCTGCATGAGCTCTCAGCATAACTGGACTGTGGGGGGGATGAGCCTTCTGCATTTTTCAGGATATGTTACTATCTTGAGCTGTGAGCTCTATTTTATTGCACTTTATATATTTCTTTTGGACACAATAATTCAACAAATTTGAGTCCTAATGTAATGGCTGTCATGAAGTTTTTTAGTAAAGAATAAGATGGAAAATAAGGACTTCAAATGGGATGAAAGGAATGCCATTCCTAACTGAGATTTGCTGCACTTAAATAGCAGCTGTTTACTGAACCTTCTTCACTGAGGTCTGGTCTGCCTGCTGGAAAGAAGAAGAGGGATCAGGCAGCTTGCCCATACTTCCGAAGATGGTAAACGACAGAAGCATACAGAAAAATCTCCCTTTTCTACTGTGAAACTTTTCTATTAAAATGTATCTGTTTTAAAAGAGCAAACCCCCATTGTTGCATCCTTATATGGCAGATATGGCCATTCTGCCTCATTACAGCTCTGTCATCACTGATGTGGGAACACTCAGCGTAATGTCAGCTTTCTCAGCATTCGTGTTTTATTGATAGTAACTTGCTACTTGTTCATGAAGAGCTTGGAGAATGTAAACCAATGGTAGAAGCTAACTAGTGTGAAGTAGTAAAGCTTTATTTCTGCAGCGTGTGTCTGCAAAGACTCACTCTGTGCCTATTGCAGCTCTCCAGGGACTGTCACGGTTTATTCTGGGCTGCGGGCTGATGGCTTTTCTAAGCTTGATGCCCCAAAATTACTGTGCTTATTCTGTGTGTAGAGGTATGGTGGGGATGAAAAGCAGTTGTGCTCTCAATGAGAGATGCAAAGGTAGATCTGGAAAGAGACGTCTTGGCTCTGAAGTGTAATGTGGAAGAAGAGATAGAGCTGCATTTTGCACCTCCCTCCTTATCTTTTCCACAGTGTGTGTGTCTGTAGCCTGTGATGTTTGTGCAGCTGGAGTGGAGCTGAAAGTAAGAGGAAAGCTTTCTCTTTGTGCTCATTGTCCCTTGTAGTGTTACACATATTTCTTTGGGACAGACTTTTGGTCTGTGTGAGACTCAGCTGCGGTGCCTAACTCACAACTGAAGAGATGTATTTCAGTTCCTGGAGCAGCATCATGAGGCTGCCTCTGGGTTTGTGCCATGGGGACTAGTGGTGCGCTTTGCTTTATGTACGTCAGGGCAGGGAGAGAGGAGCTTGGCAAGAGAAGTAGCAGGCTGTTGGGCCTGGTTTACTTTATATTCCCACTGCATAGTATGTTCCAATTTTCTGCATGAGGTTAATTAAAATAAATCAACTGTAAGCGAACTGCTGCAGTTTTAAATGCATATAGGATTCCAGTAGGATTCTGTTTATCTTTTCTTTTTGGAATGTACCCTCTTGCGTAAATGGATTTTATTGAAAACAAGTAAGAGAAGGAAATCAAACACCATGTCGTAGTAACACAACAGGGCTCATATTTTGAACATGGATTTTGCTGTACCTAGATATAATGTGTAAGCCCATGTATCTGTGACCTGCCTCATTTTTTCTCAAATACATAATCTAAAAATATTCAATTTCTTTGAGTAAAAGTAATAACAGAGGTCAACCTGTTCAGCATTGATGCATCAGTTGTTCCCAATGACAATTCAAATACTTTTCTGATAAAGGCAGTATTACAAAAAAATGGATAGAAAATTACCCTCCCAATAATTTTTTCCCTGTATACAAATATAAAGCTGTGGCAATGAATAAAAGCAGAAAAATCTCCCTTCCAATCAGTCAATGTGGGAAGAGCACACAAGTTTCCCTTGGTTATTGTGCAGACATGAGAGGAATAAGGGCTTCTTCCCTCAGCTATGGTATGAATCCTGGACAAATCAAAGTGTTGCCAGGGAGTCAGCTGTGCTCTGGTGAAAGACAGTCTGAGAGTATCGTCCCAGTCTTGGAAGGTCTGGTCGCTATTCTGACCCCAGGGGAAGTAGTTGGACATGCAGGAAACCATTCCCATGAGAAAACCCAGATGCGTAGACTTATGATGTAAATTGATTCCCATATTGTCCTAAGGACCTAACCAAAAACCGTTAAGTTTTGTACACGTGAGAAGAAACTTGGAGTCAATCACTTCTGTTATGTTTGTTAATGAATGAGAACACAGACTGTTACACATCCTTGAAGGACGAATCTATTTCTAGAGTGCTTTCCTCTATGTAGCACGAGACCTATGTACTTCACAAATACTCTCTATGCTATTTCTTACATTATGTTTTTCTTGTAGGAAACATTAAGGGTTGAGGGTTATTAACTTTCTTTAGTTAGTGCCACAGCTCCCCTGGTATCGTATTTATATCGGGTCTTCATTTGTGCCTGCATAGTACTGTGTTTATTCAGCTGTCCTAGAGCTTCTTTCTGAGACCACCTCAGGGCTGATTTTAAACCTGCTTCTCCATGTACGCTCCCTTTTGTATAAGCTTGTATGTTCCCACTGTTCAAAAGTTCTTCCTGCCAAATGGTCCCACAATTTAATGCATTCCCAAATCTTGTGAAACAGAAAAGGCCTGAGACAGTTTCTCAAAAGAGGAACCTTAAGAATTTTTGTCAAAGTTAGAGGATTTTTTTAGAATAGCAGTTTGCACCTTTCTAAACTCAAGTTGTGAGGTCATTTCTTAATCTTTTTTTTTTACTTTACATTATTTTTATTTAGAGATAAAATACATGCAAAATAGATTAATTTTTATTTTAAAATGTCTTAATTGCACAGCTTAATTAAACTTACACTGGCTTATTAAATATAATTCCTTTACAAATGTATTTACATTTTATCAGGTATAGGCAGGGCAAATAAGCCAGTTAACTTTTCCTTTGATTTACACTGCATATTGCAGGTGACAGGAAAATGGTTTAATATATAGGCTGGAAATATAAGAATCTTAATAATATGATTTTCACTGTGCTGCTTTTCAATGTCCTGGTTACAGGCCTACCCTTATTTTGGCTTTGATTTTTATAATCACGATGTTCTAGTAAGGGGAAGAAAGAAATGTGTTTAGAACAAGATGCCATCAATAGGTAATCTGCTTAGTGTGACTTGAATTTGCTTCCAATGCCACTGTTACCTATGGATCTCCCCTGAGATATCTGTGACTTCATTGATGAATATGTGGCTTTATATCAGGAAACAATTTTCTGGGTTTGATGTCCACCTGCTGTTGCTTTAGAAAATTTGCTTAAAGGCAAGAGAAGCAAAGCATGCAGGCAAGGTGAATTGCCTTGTAATTTTATTATATCTTGGATATTTGCTATTTGTTTTTACCTCTGCAGACAAAGAATACATAAAAACAACTTCCTTTATTAGTAAAAACAAACTTTTGTGCTGCCAGAAGAAAGCTTATAACTGTAAACTTTACTGACTCATAGTGGATACAAATGAAAAGTCAACATTATTTTAAAAAATTTGAGCATTGGCTCTGCAATATTAGAATTCTAGCCAAAATTCTTTGATTTGAAAGAATTCACAGGGCACATGCATCTAATTAGGATGTCACTCCAATGAATGAAGGAGGTGACTGCTCCTCAGCTTTATAGGTAATGCTGCCAGTAACTCTCAATGCGGGGGGGGGGAACCCCTAACCTGCAAAGATATTTTCACCTCCTAGCAGATCTTATATTTACTTTACATAGAACAGGAGGTATTTCTAATCTGTTTGTAAAAATACTTTTTGACTGACACCTGAAAGGCTGTTGTCCAAATGTTTGAGTACTATATTTTAAAAAGGAGCAGGGGGTGCTTGGATCACTCTTGAAGTTGTTGTCATACCCATTTCCTCATGGAAATAAAGTGACCCTTTCAAGTTTGGCACATATTGTCCTTCCTAAGGTATGGAAAAGTGTTGGATTTCAATAGTTTTCCTCTGAAAATACTCTGACGTGCTGTGTTTTTTAACAAGAGTTTACTCAGAAGCAGCTGATTTTTGGAACGTCTCAAAAACAGTTTCAGTGTTCATTTCAGTGTGAGGTTTCCCAAATAATGAGAACAAACCAGTTAATGTAATGAGAAAACTATCTTGTTACACGGTTTTGGGAGCTGCTTTTTGGGAGGTGTGAGTTCAGGGTCCATGAGGCTCACCCTGCCAGCTTTTGACTGAGGAGTTGGTTCCCTTCAGCAGTTAGCTGGTGGCAGCAGCAGAGTTTAAGGCGTGGTTATATGTGCAAAAACACAATAGCCAGAGACCTTAAAATCTTTGGGAGAAGGTAGCTGTTTTACAGTTTCTGCCACTACCTTCCCTTCTGTTTATTATTCTATTTCTTTCTTTCCTCCTGCAGAATTCACCCTAGCCTTACCAGAAGGAGAGGCGTTTCGGCTCTGCCTTTACTGTTAAGCCTACAACCCCTGCAGACTGGAAATTTTGCTGTTTCATTGTTATCAGCGAATAATTGTGGTACCTCTTTGCTTTAGCAAACTGGAAAATGGAAATGAAGATAAATACAACAAAGTTGTTGCTGTGGCTGTTGATGTTCTTCTCTGATACTGTGCCATTCAGCTATGAGAAATCAATGAGAGAGCGAGCTATTGAGCTGATGCAAGATGCACGTTTAATCGATGGGTATGTAAAATACATTCAACTAAACCCTCTTTGTGAATCTTGATAGTGAGGAGGAAATGCTAAAGTGTGTTTGGATCAGTAGAGACATAGGCTGTTACTAGCACATAGCAGTTAGTTACTGTTGCAGTGATTTATCCAGAAGGAATTTCGGTTCAGAGGGTACTTACTATAGGATCAGGTTATTCTAAATGCATTTGTGATTTTCTGGTCAGGTTTTGCCACTTAATTATTGTTTCCCTCTACATAATATCCTTGTCTCCTTCCCGTAATTTAATGGCATTTTTTATTAGCAATGACTTCTGTGCAGAGCTAGAAAGCAGGCATCATACCTTGAAAGGGTACCCTTACAACTTGAAGGAATGCTCTCTGTGGTGAGTGTATTTTGACCTGGGAACACAAACATTGATTATTCTAGCACAGGCAGCACTGATTATTCTACCACAAGTACTTGCTTCTAAGGAGTGTGGTGGCTGATTTCAGTTCTTCTATTCCTTCAGAAACAATAGGGAGAAAAACAGATACATTGAAGTTACAGCTGTAAAAATGAGAGAAGCAAAAAAAGTTTTTTGCTGTCCTAATTAAGAAATAAAGCTTGTTTGCAAAAGAAGGGAGACTTTTAAGCATATGTTACTGCAGGGATTATTGGCAATTAATGGTCTAAGGGACTATGAACAGTGGAAGAAATTATGCTTGGGTTAGAAGGGGAACAACTTATTTCTATCACAAGCCCTATTCATTTTCCATTCTAGCCACAATGACTTTGTACTGCAGCTGAGAATATTTTACCAAAATAGACTCAGTAGAGTCAATTTAAGAGAACTCAACAAGACCCACACAAACCTTGTGAAACTTCAGGCTGGTTATGTGGGAGCTCAGGTATGTACTACCATGGTTGTGAGTCTGAGAACCTATTTTTTCATTTGCCTCCTTCCCAATCACAAAAGTACTCCTGGCCTTGGTTTTGGCTTTTTCTGTTGAAAAAGAAAAAACAGTGAAACTGAAAAGCCACAGACACTTTTCCATAACATTTGTGTTTCAAAAGTTTATAATCCAAGTACCCTTAACCAAAACAGCGGCATTTGTTTTTGTGATAGATAAATTAAAGTAAACTTACATCTGCTTTCCTGCATGTACTGTGGAGTAACTGAGTGTGTCAGGAGGCTTTAATCATGTTTGGAATGGATGCTCTTGCCTTGCATCATAACTCTTCCTTTGGGGGGAAAAACTATAGTGGCAACTCCCTTGTAAACTGTAGGAAATTATTTTGGTCTGTGCTCTTGAACTTCACTATTAGCAAATGAAAGTTTCCAAGTTGAAACACAAGTTATCTAGTTTACTTGTCAATGTCTCTTTCAGTTTTGGTCAGTGTATGTTCTTTGCAGCGCTCAGAACAAGGATGCTGTGCGTCTGACCTTAGAGCAAATTGCTGTTGTCAAGAGGATGTGTAACAGCTATGAAGAGCTTGAACTTGTGACAACTTCCCAAGGTGATGCTCTTTCTTGTAACAGAAATTTTTAAAATGGGATTGCAGGAAGTATGTGCAAAAGACAGAGCTGCAAGCAGGCAAGTTATCCTGGTTTAAAGAGTAACTTTATCTTCAGTTTTTACACTGAACCACAATAACTGACTCCGTGCAGGGTCCTGGCCCACTGCAGTCATGGGAAAATTTGCCATATAAACATGCACTAGTATAAGCTCCTGTTCTATGAAAATGTCAGTATTATTGCTTGCAATTTACAATAACAATGGTTGCTCAGTAGTGCTGGCTTCTTATGTGTCATGAAATTACTTTGCAATTATCTTCCTTTGTTGTTTCCAGGTATCTCTGACAGTAGAAGGATCGCATGTTTGATTGGAATAGAAGGTGGTCACTCTATTGACAGCAGTTTGGCAACACTGAGGATGTATTATGACCTGGGTGTTCGTTACATGACTTTAACACATTCCTGCAATACACCTTGGTAACTAATGTGCATGTTTTTGTCTGACCATCTAATGCAAAGTGGTGGCAGCTCCAAGATGGGGAAAATATGGATTCAGAGAGTTCACCTCTGAAAGACTGAACCAAGTCAAGGATGATAGGTTTTTGGGGTAAATCACTTGCTACGTATCAAGCGGGAGACTGAAGGATCTGTTATGTAGTGCTTGTTACGCTGACAATTTGGGAACTTTTAAACCTTGTTAACAACACAAAGATGGTAAAATTGCTATCCCCTTTGTTTTATTAGCGAAGTTACATAGGGCAAAACAGGCCAAAAAAGAAAAAGTACTAAAAATGCATATGATGTAGATAAAAGAGGGTAAATGCTATATAAGAACTCAGCAGTCAGCAGCCTTCAACGCTGTCCTCTCTGGCCAGCTCAAAACTGCAGGTCCCATATGCAGCTACAGAGATGGGTACTGAGTTCCTGTATCAGATTATTAGCATCTACTCTTTGATGGATTGACAAAATTCCTTCTTGTACTGACTCAGGGAAAGGGGAATTGTGTGCAGAGAGGGCTGAAAAGCAGGCTTTCTGGATGACTGGTAACTGACATTTCAGTGTATCTTTGTTCTCTGATGAAGGTTTGTTTAATCAGAAAATTTCTGACAAGCATCTCTTTGCTTGTCTTGCATTGTTTCACAAACGTACAACGGTCCTGAACCTGAAGGCATGACATCCAGGAAACAGTTATGAACATAAAAAGCACTGTGCGAACAAGATACGTATTTTGTAGCTTGTTATCCCTATATTTGGCTATGTGATGTGGTAATGATTTTTATTATGTGTAGCATAAGAAGTTTCAGTTGCTGATATTGTAGTCTCCAGAATAATATGATGTTTCTCCTCCCTCACTCCCCTCTTTAAGGTCTGAATCGTCATCTAAAGGAATACACAACTTTTATCCTAGTGTTATTGGTCTGACTGCATTTGGCCAAGTAAGGATCTCTTTCAAATGCTAATCTAAGTAATCTCTCATGCAACTAACAACTTCTGGCTTACCTTTTCAAAAGCAACTTGTCATTACAAATTAATTACTGAAGTTCTTGATAGGTAGGAGGTGATCAGGGTTCAGTCAAACCAAATTCCCTGTGATGTTCCTTAGGGTAAAAGAAGCACTAGGTTTAAGTATAACAATTGTTTTAATACAGATCAAATGTATGCATTAATATGCGGAAGTAGTGGGATGTGAATAACAGTTCAAATGACTTATTTTAGATTGACTAAGTTTTCTAAGTTTTGAGCATGTGGTGGTGTGCTAGTTAATTGTGAGTGAATAAATAACTATTAAATTAATAGGTAAATAGAAACTCATACAGGCACAGCATGTTTACGACTAGCTGACAGCTGCAGAATTTATTTATCTGTTTACATATATCAGCTAAACGGTTTGCTTTATGGAAACTTAATACTGACGCTGCTGTCTGTAAATCTGTTTTAGGAAGTGATAAAGGAGATGAATCGCCTGGGTATGCTGATAGATTTATCTCACACTTCATATTCCACAGCAAAAGTTGCACTGAATATCTCAAAAGCACCAGTAATTTTCAGCCATTCCTCAGCATTTTCTATTTGTAATCACTCAAGAAATGTTCCTGATGATATCCTCCAGCAAGTGGTGAGTGATACAGTTTTCGGGTTTGGGTTTTTTTGGGGGTTTGGGGGGTTTGTTTGGTTTTGTTTTTTCATTTTTTTGTTTTAATGGCAATGTTTGGCTAGTCTGAGGCAAACTTGCACATTCAAGTTCTGGTGTTTACTTTTCACCTTCTCATCTCTGAATTGGATTTATAAGCAGATCCCTGAGCAGCAAGTTACACGTTCGCTTCTGAGACATTTTCTTTGAGTTGTGTTTTGTCTTTGGCTACAAAAATGAAGTGCTTGCAAATACTTTGAAATTCTGGTTGAGTTTGTTTGATGTAGTCACTGGACTTCTGCTGATTCAGGCTACATGAGAATATAATGAATCCAGGGTAAAGGACAGAGAGGCAAAGCCTTGTGTTGCCACCTGAGCTTTGACTTAGTGTTGTTATGATCCCTGATGGATGGATGTAGAAGGATCTATATGAGATACCCGTGAGGTTTGCAGAATACACGAGTGTCCAATCATCACTTGTCTCTTCATATCTTTCAGAAAAAGAACAAGGGAATTATCATGGTGACTTTCAATGCAGATGTACTGGCATGTGGCAGAAAAGTTATTAATGTTTCTACCCTTGCAGGTTTGAAGTAAATATACTGTAGTTTTTGTGGGTGGCTTCCATGAATTTCCCGATGTCAGTGTCATTTTTGAGATCGTGTAAATTATACTGCTTGTTTATTCCCTTCCATGCCTTACCCCAGCTCTAGGTATTTTTGGAGCTAATATTCATTAAACAATAACAAGAGGTACAAGGTGTGTAGCTGGAGAACATGACGCTCCCAAATGGAGCCAAGAACCATTCATCCCAATGTAGTTGTTACTTTCTAGAAAGCATCTTAAATCTTTGTAATTAAGAGTGGAAAACATAGGTATGTAATGGGTAGTGAAAAATCTGTTGGTATAGGTGGGCTACTTGTTGGGAATTAATGTGCTGTGATGATCATGTCTTTTTCCTCATTTGCATCTCATCAGTGTAGCTATTATTTTGAAGATTGCTGCCTGATGAGCTTAATAACAGACAACATCTAGTTAAGCATCACTAAATATCCAGAATATGTCAACTGCATTATTACATTTTAACCTGTATTATCAGGATGTCTTTTGACTTTTTGTTAAAAGGATTTGATTAAGAATCCATATTTAAGGAGAACAGTCGCGTAGTGCCAATATGTCTGAACTGTATTATTTCTTCTTGCCAGATGCTTAGATATTGTTTTCTTTGATACTTTCTTTCAGATCATTTTGACCACATAAAGAAAATTGCAGGTTCAGAATCTATAGGAATTGGTGGTGACTACGATGGAGTGGAACGGTTAGTAAAATTGTACATACATTGACATCTGCTCCTTAAATTATGAAGGTTTTGATTCCTTTTGGGCGAAAAAAGAAGGCAGACTAAAAGAGTTGTAGCAAGTTGTCTTGTGATGAGTACTAAAACAAGTTTTATGAAAGAGGGGCACAATGATTCCTTTTTAGAACTGTATGAAGCAGTGCTACAAATGTGGAAACGGATCCTAATGCCCTGTGAACTCTGCAATTGTGTGTTCTAGGCAGTGGTTTGTGCATACAAAAACAGTGATAGAGGGTGCTTTCCTCCAGAAGCCAAGGATGAATTACAGAAAAGCTGCCTCGGCCTCTAGATGGTAAATGGGTTAGCCCAGGGACATGCTGCAAAACTCTTTCCTCCACTATTACTTTCTAGTGGGAAAAGCCCAAAGTGTTTTGGGGCTGTGAAACCACTCCTGCTTTTGGGTACGGGAAGTGTTTGAGGCAAGCAGTGCATGATGAACAGCCCACAGCATAACGTCTCCTGCTCACTCCTGCGCTAGTGTTGTTACAGCACAGGAAATAAATGCAGATTGGGTGGCATTTGCTGGCGTAACCCTAAACCTTTTTTTTGCTTTTTATCAAATCTTCATCTTTTTTTTTTTCTGGGTCAGATACACTTGTGTATGAAAGTCACAGTCAGACTCACATCTGTAGAGTTGGACCACAAAAACAGTGTGTCGGCTCCCATGAGAGTTAGCTAATCATAGCTCTGAAACTATAATCTCCAAAATAAAAACACAGTTTGCAACAATAGGACACATTTTATTGCATGCATTTTCGCAAAGACTGTCAGTTTAATTGGTGGTGGAGTTGTTAAGGTCCTAGGTCCTGGTAGAAAATAACAGCACAGATTTCTTGAGATATGCTTATCACCACACCTCCACAGAAAAGAAAAATAACAGAAAATATTAGTTATCTCAAAACAAAGTCAAAGACTCATGGAAATACCATTTAAAACAGCTGTTTAATGCAGGTTTTGCAGCTTCTTACTTCTAATTCCTTTTTATTCTGATAAGAATTAGCAGAAGACTTAGGTCAATTTTGCTTATTGTAATTTCTTCAGTAGAGGGTTCTGAATAGCTTTCTTTTCACTGCCTAAACTGCTGAATTCAAACCAATATTATTATTCTAATGGTCTTTTCTTTGGAAAAATGACTTTGTAGACAACAGAGTACACAAAATTGCCTGCAACTCCTTAGCTCATCATGTGTTTGCAGGTTCCCTTTTGTCTCAGTTACACAAGTGGATTGCACCGACTCCATCTGTGATGCAGCTGTTTCCTCTTACTCTAAAGGCCAGATATAAAGAGTGGATTAATGCATACATAAACTTGTTTTTTTTTCTTTTGTTTTGTTTTAATATCCTCCATGCTGTTGTTCTGCCTATACACAAGTGCATCTTCATTCCAGAATACACAGTTTTGTTCTGCTAATGGTATCCTCTGTGCAGAGAAAGCCTTTCATTGTGTCCCAGTCCTGCTTCTGCTTATGTCACTTGAATTCTTAATTATTTTTTTCAACTTCTGAGAGGAAGAATTGGGTCCAAAGTAAGCTCATTCCAAAAGTGAATATGTGCAAAAGGCTAATTAAAAATCTTTTTCTACATTTCTTCCAGTGATGTGTGTTGAATGTTCTTGTGTGACTCTTGCCAACAGTTTCCCTGAGGGATTGGAAGACGTTTCTAAATACCCTTCTTTGATTGAGGAACTTCTTAGAAGAGGATGGAATGAAACTGAACTGAAAGGGGTCTTAAGGGAGAACTTTCTCCGTGTCTTCAGGGAAGTGGAAAATGTAAGATTAAAAACTAAACTGAATCTTGATTCTTACTAAGAGGGAGAGAGGAACTGTTGGTGCTCTGCTGCTCCACCCCCCCACCCCACCCCCCCCAATGAGAGAGCTATGAGGGAATGTAAGCACTTAATGCAATAATTCCAAATGCTGGGAAAGAAACCAAGATGGTAAGAGAGTGTTAGCAGAATAAAGGAAAGTGAGAGAGAGTGGACAGAGCTCTTTGGAACTTTTTCTCTCTCTGGTAATCTGATAAGTACACATCACTGACTTCCAAATAGAATCGCTTCATGGTTTGGAGAAACTGCGGACGTACCAGTGTCACAGTCTGGCTGTGTTCGCTGGTGCAGTGAGGAATGCTGACTCCTGCAAATCAGTTTAATTCTTGTCATGGGATTAGGCTGCTATCCAAAAGGCTCCTGTCGTGACCAGATCACTAACAAGCCATAAACATAACAACTAGATCACCATGAGCTTTAAGTGTAAATGGTAGAAGCTAATGCAGAAGGATGAGGGAGGAGAGGAGGGAAGGAGACAGACTGTATGAGAGTAAGGACCCCCTAAATGGTAACTTTTTCAAAAGCCTCTGTTGAAACTTGCAAACTGCTTGCTTCTGGCTGGTTTTATTTACAGAGATAAGTAAGTAGATATTATACACAAAAGCCTTATAGACAACATGTATTTCACAGTGATCTTTTTTCCACTTGCCTTTTTGGGATATGTTAGATGAACAGGAATCAGGGAGTTTGTACTGTTCCAGTTAATCTGCCAAAATGTCCACGTAATGCCGAGTTGCACATGTGGCAGACTGACATTATGAAGAGGTTGAAATTCATCACACCTAACTGATCTGTGAGATTTAATATTTTTTTTCCTTCTAAATTAGAGATGTTTGAAGCTCTGTCTTGAGACTGTGAGCTGACTTCAGGGAATAAAGCTCATGAGTTTGTTTGTTTAAGGTTTTCCAGCTAATGCATCCATATGTGGAGGGAGCCAAGACAAAGAACAGCCAGACCGGTAACTCTTGCCTGCAATGTATCTGTACTCAATTCTGGGAGGTGTTTCATAGGAATGCAAACATCAGGATAATGATGTTGATTTCCTCACATTCAGACTGTACTTTTGCAGTACAGTTTGAGTTGGTTCACTTGAAATAGCATTGAGTTTGCTAGCTGCATAAAGCTTTTTGCTGTTGTGCCAGTCCGGCTTTCAGGGGCAATCTTTTGAATTTTTCTAGGTGCGGAACATTAGTGGACAAATGGATGTAGGTGAAAGTGAAATTCCGCAAGAAGAAGTACAAAATTCCTGTCGCCTAGACCTACGTAATCATCAGCTTCACACAGCCAGGTCCTTTGGATTTCCTTCCGTGGCACAACCTTTTAGTCTGACACTTGTAATTGTATCATATTTAATACTGTACTATGAATCATAAGACCTTATGGAGTCTAGAGAGAGATATATGGAGTAATCTGCAATGCAACTAGTTATCTTTTTTTGGGGTTTGTTAATGTAAAGCTATGCTAAATTTTTTGATGTAATTTCTATAAATTCACCTGCATACTTGAAAGTTAATGTAGATTTTAAATATTGTAGCAAAAGCATTTAGAATTTGAAGTGATAAATTGTGTCATCTTGGCTAAACCAGGACCAACATTGTTAATGGAAAGTATTCACAGCTAATGAATAAATTCTCTAATACATGACACATGACTTTGGTACCCATATTGTGGAACTTGGAATAAACACTGCAGTCCAGAATCAGCAGTTCTACACAGGAACTAGAGAATATGATTAAGACAGCTGTGCTGAGATGTTTTCAGATATTACTTCTTGTTAAATCGTACAACTTTCATCATCAGTCGATGGCTTAGTCAGAGAAGACCACCCCCCTGGTATACGTAGAAGAGTGGGTTTTTGTTTTGTCTTTTTTTTATGACAACAAGATGGATGACAAGGCTATTTCAATTCAGATTTCATGCCTACCACTAGCTTTAGGGATCCATCCTGCAGTACTAAACTCTTATTTTTGAACCCTGACCAGGACAGTGGGCAACTGGAGAGTTACTGAAGGGTGGAGGTAGGTGTCTTGCATTCAGGTACAGGTGACCAGGCAATGTTGTAGATACTTTTCCTAGAATTTGGGGACTGCTGTTTGCTGCACGTTCATGAAGCTGGGAGCAAGAAAAAGCCAGGACAAAGCAGGAGTTCTGGCTACTCAAAGGGTGAGATCTTATTCTGATATTTTTATTGCAGTCTGACCAGTATAAAATGAGTATTTATAAAAATTTTGTTAGAATGTTCCACAGCTTTGTGGAAATCTTTTTCACATTTAAACGATGATCCTTATCAATAACAAGTTTTATTATTTTATTTTTATTCTAGCTGGCTAAAATCAGACCATTGTCAAAGGATTCATAGGCATGAGATTAGACAGAAATCTTTTTATTATAAATCTTCTGCTGTTTTAGCCTTTGGAACACATTTTCAAATACACAAGGTATGTGAGGTTAGAACCTACTGTTATACAGAAGAGGATATACTGCGATAGGCCTATTCTTGGTAGGCAAATATGGCTCAAACCTGGAATTTTAATCAAATATCCCGAGATACGTGATGAAATTGTAAGATGGCAGCACTACATCTTTGTAGGGTCATTTCCCAGTGCTTGCTGGTAAATGCCTTCTCATGATACTTGCTGTTAATTGTGATTTTTATCTCATGATATGTGCTTTTATTTAACTGATATGACATTTACAGAATTTAGCCTTAGTATAGAATAAAAGTCCTGCAATTGATCTAAGGACAGCATTTGTAAACACGCAAAGTAACAACTGAAAGACAAGGCTAAGCATGAACAGAATGGAAACAGCAAGTCAGTTGTTTTCTAGAGTCACTTGAGACTGTTCCTGCCATCCATTTCTGCATTCCATGTACAAGTAGGGTTTCTGGAAGAAGATTGTTCTTTTATTGCTTCAAAATGAAGCTTCATTAATTCTCCTGATAGGGTGGTCTCCTTGATAAGTATATTCTGAATATACTACTGACACTTATTGAATTATTCTTTGAATAATCTAGTTGCATACAAGCCAAGTTTTTAAGAACAGTTTCTCAATAAATACTGATCCTGGTTATGCATCTACAATGGGGAATTACTGCACTGACTCAGAATTCTTGCCTTCCCGGTACTGCTTGACTGGCATCAGAACTTGTTTTACTGGTAGAATGATGAATTCAATAGGGCAAATATTTACATCCCATCAGTACTTCTGCTAATAGCTTCATAAGCCATTGGAAAACTGTCATCCAGGGTCTCCTTTCACAGAACTAGTACTGTGATAGTAACTTCATAACATATTTGAAATATAAGATGCTTCCTTATTCCTTCCAGCCTTTTTCTTTCTACTGTGTTGTCACTTTCCTGCCTGCTAATTCCTACTTTTTTTTCCATACTACAGAATGGATTAAAAATATATTCCTTTTCTTAATGATATGAATAATACTTTTATATGACTGATTCCACCATACTATAGATATACATATATATACATCTCCTGGATGTAGGCAGTCAGCCTTATTGTCACTCAGATACCGCCTAAGCTGTAGAGAAGTCCAAGCAAGTGCCTATAGAAAGGGAACATGGATGACTCAGTCATTGCAGTGAGTCCGTGATGACAGTGTTACCTGCAGCAAATCACTTGGTCAAGCAAGTCAAGTCATAGAGAACAAAGCTTATGGGGAACTAGACAGGTTAGGATAACCTCTACTTCACAGCATTTCTCACTGTGTGATGATCTAGAAGTCCTTTTTCCATTACTAGTTTCAATGTTAACTCAGAACGCTTCAAATAAGCTCCTTGTGTGAAACCAACATCAGAGTGCAAAATCATCAAGCAAGAAATGGAATCTTGTGCATCATGCAATGATTATGCACATGGTATCTAGCTTATCTAATAGATGCAGTTAGTTTATTTTTCTTAAATGATCAAAATCACACAGTTTGAAACATAGTAGAAAGGCATCTCATTAGAATTCCATTTCAAAAGTAAAATCACGTAAGATAATGGCTGTGACCGCTGTCAGAAAAACTATAGTGACCTTTCAGTCTGAGTGCTAGTGTCTCCAGTCCTATGACAGTGGCTTGTAGTTGTAGTCACAACACTGCATTTCCAACAGCTCAAGCATAAAATGATTGCACTCTGATTTCTGCCTCCCAACGGAGAGGATGATTCATCCTGAAATTGAATGCCTTTGCCCTGCACCAATTAATAAGAGCAATTTGCACTGGTAATTTGAAATGCATGCTAGCTCAACTGACAGATTCTATTATGGCTAGTGGTATCAGTGAAGTATCAGACATAATTGAGATACCAACTTTGTAATAAGCTTTGTTGGCTGCCAAATGGAAGAATGCAAGTCATTATTCTTCTAAATAATGAGTTGTGCTAACATGAATTCTGAAAATAGTTATTACTATTTCTGCAAATCTCAAAATCTATGTACTATGAAGTACTTTAGGCTTATTTTCTAAATAAGACCCAAACTTCAAGGCATCTTTAACAATCCAAGGCTCGTGCTTTCACATGTGTGATATGAACAGCCAAAAACTACAGACATAATATTGATGCAGACTATTGATTTGATTTTAAAAGGTTGACGCCAGTGCCCTTCCCCCAGTACTATCCTTTTCCAGACTAATGGGCTGTAGCATCCACAGAAATAAACAACTTCAATTCTCACTTGTCTCATCTGGGTAAGTGGTGATGCTAGAAACCAAACCTAAAAAGTCTATTGCTGGTCTAACATATGCAGCTGATCTGTTATGTAAAATCTGAGTAGTTCAGTTCACATATCTAACTTCTACTCAGTAGGTGACTTGTTTGTGCCATGGAAGGGCTTTTGCATGTTTTACATTGGATATGGACTACTGAAGTATGCCGGTGCTTAGCATCTGCATTCCTTCATATCATTGAGCTGCTCAAATAATATGCCAGCATATTTCTATGTTTCAAGGTCAGTAAACATCATGCATTAAGTCTAACATATAAATATGTTTATTAACTGCTGTTTGATCTTAAACATAAGGTTCAGTGGGCATCTGCACCACAGAATCAACTTTGAAAAGCCGGGTATCACTGCATTTCCATCACCTTCTGGAGTAAGGTGCAGTCCCCTAGTAGTTTATGCCAGTGTCAACTTTGGCTGCTGCAGGCCTGCCCTGTTTCTCGGCTGCATGTTGTCTTCCCTGTCCCCTGTGACAGCACTGGTGTTTGTGTAACTATATGGTAAGCTGGTTCAGGGAGCTAAGCTAGCTGAAAACAAACTGTTTTCCTCC